CGGCTCCGGCTCCGAGTCCGAGTCGGTTTCCGCGGCCTCCCCGGCCACCCGCAGCCCCGTGGGGCGGCCGCGCGTCGGGCCCGAGGGACCCAGGTACAGCTCCTCCTCCGACGAGGACGCAGAGAGCTCCGAGTCCGTCTCGGCCGCCTCCCCGGGCACCACCGTCTCGGGCCTCCGCGGCGGCCTCCGCCTACGACCCTGGGACGCCATGGCGCCGAACTAGGGAGAAGAGGGGCGAAGGGACGGCATGAGAGGTGCCCGGCGGTGGTTCAAAGGCGCAGGTTCTGGATTCCCAACCCCTTCAGTGACTAGCTGAGCGATTTGGGGCCATCTGCGTCCCCTGCCTGGGCCCCAGTTTCCTCTTCTGTAAACGGGCTCATCATCCCTGCTGCCAGAGATAATGGGAGCCACTGGACCCCACCCTCTTTGTGCACTGACGGGGGAACGGAGGACCAGATGGGATGAAGGCTCTGGGGCCCGAGCTCCCAGAGTACCAACCCGAGCTCTGCGATTTTGCCTCCTAGCAGAGGCCACACCCGCCACACCGTCCTCCGAGCCTTTGTCAGATCCGGAAGCACACGGGCTCCAGACCAGGGTCTCAAAAAGGGTGACAGCCCAGCTGGACTCTGGGGAGGGTACACGAGTGGGGGCGCGGGGCAGCGCTATCACCGAACACCGTACCTGGTTACCGAAGCTTCGAGCCTGCAGGATCCGCTACGCAGCCCAAGCGCGCCGTCTTCACCGAGGGAGGAGGGTGACAACCCCAACCAATACGGGAGCGCGTTGGACGGGCATGGCGGCCAAACACGTGGGTCGCTCGGCTACCTACCCGGAAGGCAAGCGCTCCAAACCAGCTGTGTGTATGGGAGGGGGGAATAGTCACGTGAGTATAGGTACGACCAATAGGAAGGCGGCTGGGCTGCCGCTTCCGGATTGTGCTGCTTGGCGAGTGGACAAATGGAAATTTTTTAAAATACGAGGTTTGTCGCAGGTAACCAGTGATTCGGCCAATGAAAATGCTCGGCAACCCGGAAACAGACTGGAGACGAAGGGGAAGGGCGGAGATGCTGTTACATGTGGCCAATGAAAAGAGGCCCTCCCTCCAAGTCTCCCGGGTTCATGCGCGCACCATGTGAGCCCGGTAGGCGGGGCCAGTCTGAAACACCAATGGAGGCGGGGGTGGGCGGGCTCGCGCCTGGTGCAGGAGGCGGGGCTTGCCCAGCCGGGCCAATGAGAGCGCGAAGCGCAGGACGGTTGTTGGGCGCGAGGCCGGCGCATGGCGGACCCGGCACTGTTCGAGTTTCTGCACACGGAGATGGTGGCGGAGCTGTGGGCGCACCATTCCGACCCTGGCCCTGGGGTGAGCGCCGGGCCCCGGGGGGAGGAGGCGCGGGCAGCGGCGGGAAAGGCGGATCGAGGCCCTGGAAAGTGCGGAGGGAGGGTCAACGGCCCGGGTCGAACTCCGACCCCGCCCCTGCCTCGCATGGCGCTGGCTCCCGCCTCTGTAAAGTGGGGATCGCAGCAGGGCCGGCCTCACGGGTTACTGCTAAAAGTGAGGGAGGCAGCTCCGGCTAAAGCTTAGCTCAAGGCCTAGCACAGAGTCAGCAGGTAGTAATTATCATAATTACTATTATTGGACGTGTACCCAGGACTTACTGCCTGGGTTGAATCCCGCCTGCGCCACGAACTAGGTGTGAGAGTCAGTGACTATCCCCTGTGTGCCTCAGTTTCCTCCTTAGTAAAATGGGCATTATAACAGCACCTCAGTCTCAGAGAGGGACATGTACTCATCCAACAAACACTTATTAGGCACCTGTTGTATTCCAGGCACTGTTTCCGTGTCCTTGAGAAACTTATAGGGGAGGCAAACAAACAAAAATACGCCACTGCCTAGTGAGAAGTTCCATAAAGAAAACTTCCATAGAGGAGCGCCTGGGTGGTTCAGTCCATTATGCGTCTGCCTTTGGCTCAGGTCATGATCCCAGGGTCCTGGAATCAATTCCCACCTCCGGCTCCCTGCTCAGCGGGGAGCCTGCATCCCCCTCTGCCACCTGTGCTCTCTCGCTCAAATAAATAAAATCTTAAAAAAAAAAAATTCCATAGAGTCATGAAAAAACTAGGGATGGAGTGATTGATGGTGGAGGAAAGCCTTCCCAAGGCACAGACTATAGGAAGTTAAGGCAGGGTGGGGGTGGGGTGGGAGTGGGTGGAGCGCATTCCAGAAGAAGGAAAGGAACAACAGGTGCAAAGCCCTGAAGTAGGAGCATGCTTGGCATTTTGGAAGTTGGTTCTTCTGAGGAATAAATGACTCAAACTTTAAAGCACTTAGGGTGATGTCAAGCACCTAATCCGCCCCCAGAACATGGGAGCTCCTGTTTTAAAGTCTGTTACTAAAAAGAAAGGGTTGGGGAGAGAGTAAGGTGCTTGAGAAGTGAGCGCTGTGATTAATTTTTTTTTTCATTATTATTCTTAGCATGATCATCGTCATCATCAGTATGCAAGATGTTTTTACTGGCTTAGGTTTTCTGGTTTAGGAGCCCCAAGGAGGGTGTTGCTTCTCATCTCAACAGTTTCTTTTGAGTTTATTCATTCCACACACTTCATCTCAAACCTACCAAGTGTCAGGCCCCGTGGTAGGCTCTGGGAATTCCTCAGTGAACCCTACAAAACTCCTGGCCCTCCTGGAGTGGGCGGGGGGGGGAACTAAGATAAATGAATAAAGTCTAGAATGTTAAGGAAATGCCATGAGAAAGATAAAGCGTGGGATAGAGACTGCTCATTGGCCTGTGTGTTGGGGGGCGGTTTGCAGTGTCTCGGTACCCCATCCAGCCTGGCTTGAAACTCCCGTATCCCCGACATCAGCCTTTTCTCCCTCACCAGCAGCCCCCAACCAGGCCCTGCCACTTCTCCCCACCCCTGCCCTGTAGTCCAGGCCCCTCTCTGCCCCTGTACCAGCCTCCTCCCTCATCTCTGAGCTCATTTCACCTGTCATATCTTCATTGTGTCCACATCGATTAATCCTTCGGATTTTGGCTCAAATGCCCCTTCCTCTGGGAAGCCTTCCCTGGGCGCCAATCCAAGTCATTGTGACGTTCTTGCAGCCCCCTCCCATTTGTCCTTGGGAGCCCTATCATACCCAAGTATGTATCTGAATTATAGGTCCCTTTGATTCACATTCGCCCCCCGCCCCCAGACTGTGCACCGTGTGGGCTAGGACCAGGTCTGTGTTGATCACCACGTAGTAGGTCCTCTGCACACAGTAGGTCCTCAGCGTGGGTTTGTTGAAGTGGACACAGCCCCCCTGCTGTGGAAGGCTGGAGTGGGGACTGGGATTTGTAATAATAACAGCACCTACCACAAATGAATGTTTCCTGCACACACTCATGGGCTTCACACTCCCGATTTCATTTGATCCTCCTACTGACCCGCAGAGGTCAGCACAATCCTCCCCGATTTGTAGGCTTTGGAGCCTGAGAAACCAAGGCTTTGATGGACAGGAGCGCTTGCTCTCAAGTGCCAGAGTCAGGAATGTAACCAGGTCTCCCACCTCCAGAGCCTGCGCGCTGCAAACTCTGGCCCGCATTTCTCAGCGCCCCTTCCCTGGCACTCTCTGGGAGGATTTTTTTTTTTTTTTTTAAAGATTTTATTTATTTATTTGACAGAGAGAGACACAGCGAGAGAGGGAACACAAGCAGGGGGAGTGGGAGAGGGAGAAGCAGGCTCCCCGCTGAGCAGGGAGCCCGATGTGGGGCTCAATCCCAGGACCCCGGGATCATGACCTGAGCCGAAGGCAGACGCTTAATGACTGAGCCGCCCAGGCGCCCCTCTGGGAGGATTTTAATGGGTTTCTGTGGTCAAGCAAGTGTGGGAAATGCTGGGTTACTCAGCTGTGCTCACCATGGGCTTTCAAAGCACACGAACGTGCCCGGGACCCAGCTGCCGCTGGGATTCCCGTGCTGGGGTCCTACCCCGGAGCTCCCCAGTGCTTCCCAGGTGCACCCAGGGGTGAGGTCTGCCGTGGGTCCCCCATGTGCCTGCCACTTGGAAGCCCCATTTTCAGGGCTGTATCAGGAGAACTGCTGTTTGGGGCACCTGGGGGGCTCAGTCGGTTGAGCATCTGCCTTCAGCTCAGGTCATGATCCATGATCCCAGGGTCCTGGGATTGAGCCCCGAGCCCTGAATTAGCAGGGAGCCTCTTCTCCCTCTTCATCTCCCCCCTCCCCCACAAACTCATGCTCTCTCTCTCTTGCTCACTCTCTCAAATAAAATCTTTTTTAAAAAAGAGAGAACTGCTGTTTGCTCAGCCCTGTCTCTTCCACTCCTGGCCCCTCCTCTTTCTTCCTCTTTCTGTTCCTTCTCTTTGGTCCAACAGGTATCCTGTCTGAACCAAATGCAGGCCTCCTGTTGGGGACTTATGGTATCCCCAGCACGGTATTCTGTCAGATTGAGTCCTCAGAACGACCTTGCAAAGTAGACATTACCACCCCATTTTACAGAGGACGGACTGAGGCACCAGGGTGGGGGGGCTTTCCCTGGGCTGCACGGGCACAAATCAGAGGGGAAATCAGGACTCAGGCTTCGGGCTCCAGAGCTTGTCTGTGGCTTCAGGTCTGTCCCTCCCACCAGCTGCCAAGTTCCTTGAGCACAGGGATGGTGGGCTCGTTTCTCTGTCCCCGGAGCACACGTGCCCAGGAGTTTTGGAGGTTTCCATTTCCTGCCTGGTGTGGTGGTCATCTGGGGCTATTGAATGGATTTTTCTGGACGGTTACAGGTGGAGTGGAAGACTAGCCAGAGGAGCCAGGAGGGCAAAGGGCCTTTGTTATCAGAGCTGGAAAAACCCAGGAAGGAGGAGGTGCCTGTCATTTGAGCACCTCAGCAGCTTTGAAGATAAGGAAAGCCGGGGGGCAAAGGAGTTAGCTCTGCAGAGCAGAGAGCATCAGTCCCCTACTCTGGGAGCTCTGACAGGTGGCCCTGCTGGGCCAGACCTTCCGCCACCCAGGCCCGGCCAGTGCCCGTGCCAGCCTGGGCAGCTATCAGATGCAGCCCCTGCCCTCAGCAAGAACCTGGGAACCCCCCCCATTCCTGGCAGAGTGGACCCCCAGGGACAGAGCCCTGGAGGGAGCACCATGCACTCGAGGCCAGGGAGCTAGCGGTGGGAGCTAGGGCTCCGTCCTGAGAGCAGTGGGAGCCATAGAAGGTTTAAGCTGAGGTGTGCTGGGTGCAGATCTACTTTTTAGAAAGGCTTCTCAGGCCACGTGAATGAGCCCGAACGGACACGCAGCCGGGGCCCAGTGCACAGGCAGGCGCTCAGCCTGGGGTGGGAGGAATTAGGCCTGTGGGGGCTTTGGGAGTGTTTGGGGGGGGAAGGTAGGATCTGGGGGTGTCTGGGACCACCTGGGCGGATGCGAGAGGTGAGTTCAGGGCCACAGGGTGGGAGGTGAGCTCATTCTTACTTACCCATGCACCTAGGGGAGCGAGGACGTCACCTCTCCCCGTGCTCCTCTTAAGGCAGGAACCCCGGCAGCTTGTCCCCCAGGTCCCCCAGCAGGGCCTGCACAGATCACTGAGGGCCAGGGCAGCAGAAGAGATGGGAAGGAGCCTGGCACGGGGCCTCTGCCCACTCCCCGCCTTCGGTCCAGGATGTTCTCTGCGAGTCCAGGGCTCAGGATGCACGGGCTGGTGGGGAGGCTCCGGTCGGATCGCTTGTTTCCCCATCCTCCTCCTCGGGGCTCGGTGGCACTTTTCCGTCCGAATACTTGAACCTTCCTGCAGCGGAGCACCCTCTTCTCTTACTGTGTCAGCGATCTTTCTTCCACATGGTTCCAATGCGTCTTCTTGGCTCTCGGATGAACACTGGACTGTCTGGGTCCCTTCCACGTGACTTACAACTTCTCGGCCAGTTTTTTCTACCTCGTGGGTTTTCCTTGACAGCCTAGGAGGCTTCATCCCCCTTACAGATGTGTCTGTCCGTCAGCTCCCTTTGTTATTTTCGCTACCATACTTCCCATTTCCTAGGGCTGCCCCTCTGGCTGCCCCTTCCTCCCAGCTCCTGTGCTGTTGGGGGACGCTAGGAGGGCTTTCTCAAAGAGGCTCCCCTCTGTTCCTGCATGATCTTGTTTCCTCTCAGTGGGCTGTTGTGAACTCATCTGAGGTGGGGGGCGGGTGCCAGGAGCCCGGAACTGCTCTGGCTCTGGCTCTGGGCTGGGCCGGGAGGATGAGAGCCCCCGCCCAGGCTTTCGTAAGAATAACAAACCTCTAATCCATGAAGAGCTTTTGTAGGGAACAGGGGAGGCAGGTGGTGATAGAGCCGGGAGGCTTCTGCTCCCCTTCCTCCTCCACCCTCTTCCTCTGTCACCTGCTCATCCTCGGCCCCTGCCTTGCGCGTCTGTTGTTCCCGTACCCCACCGCCTCGATCTTTCCAGTCCCGCACATACGTCACTGGCCTCCAGCTCGGGCTGAGTCCGGCGGTGCCGCCAGCTGGGGAGGGGCTGTTGCCCAGTGCGGGTCACACCACCGCTGTGAGGTAGGGCCAGCCGTCAGGCCCATTTCACACATGGGGAAACTGAGGCCTGGGGCTATGAGATAGCTTGCCCAAGGTCAGTAAGCAGCGGAGCCAGGCCTTGAACCCAGGCAGTCTGAAGTTCACTGAAAGGAGACCTTTCCAGAACGTTCCCCCCACCCCCACCCCGGGGCTCCCTGGCCTGGCTGAGGACCCTGCTGACTCCTGGGCTCTCCGCCCTCAGGGCCGCTGTCCTGGCTATGACCCGGGCTTGGGGTGCCGCCCCACTCCCTTCCCTGCTTCGCTCCTCTCCCTTCACGCTTGGCCCCAGGGGAGCACTCAGAGCGTGGCTTTTCTCCCGGCCATGTCCCCGATGTCCCCGCCTGGGCTGAAGCCGCTAACAGCTCCATTAGTTCCTGCACGGTCGGGGCAGGGACTGGCGCACCCTCTCCCATGGCGCCCCCCTCAGCCTGGTCTACAGGCACCATCCCCCTGCCTCATGGCCGGAGCTGCACCCCCCCAGTCCCGCTTCCTGCCTCCTTGCCTTGGCGTACAGCCTCTGCTGGGAGTTCCCTCCCCTTCCCGGCCTCCTCCTCTGAGAAGTACCCTGGGGACCCCTGCTCTGGGGGGAGCTACCCGGCTCCCCTCGCATATGGGTTTATGGGTTGTCCATCACCTGTGCACCTGTGACCCCCTGCCCCCCACCCCCGGGCACAGTGGCCAGCCCCTAGAGGCCACCGGGAAACGTCTGTGGAATGAACAAGAGAGAGTCCCCACGCGCTGGGCAGGCCTCAGGGACACAGATGTGCACGGTCAGAGTGGAGGCTGGCCCTGCCTCTTTAAGGCGCTCACCTCTGGAAGGGAGGGGACAGGGGAGCGCGGGGACCCTACCACCTGTCAGAGAAAGCTAGCCGAGCGTGTGGCAGGCGGCTTTCTAGGTGCTGAGCTAAGTCGGCCCATGGATCAGAGCCCCTCCTTCATGGGGCTTTCCTTCCGCCTCCGGCTGGTCACCCAGGCTGACAGACGCAGAGGCGGTGAGTGACAGGGACAGTAACACTTGCTGAGCCGGCTGGGAGCACTTGGCCCGCATTTAATCCTCATAAGGATACGGGGAGGGAGGTAGCACGGCTAACACTGTCCTCTCTTTCCCCGGGAGGAGGCCGGGGCTCGGGGCCCGTGTCCCCCTCACTGTCTCTCCCACCTGAGCTCATCTCCACACGCCTTAGTCATCAGCTGTGCCCGAGGACACCAGAGGTGTGTGCTGACAGACGGACCAGAGGGCTGGCCAGCGCCAGCCAGCAGGAAGCCGTGTCATCACCAGGTCCGGTTCCCGCAGGAGGAGCACAGAACGGTGGGCAAGGGCCGAGGAGCCGGGGCGGCCGGGCAGAGAAGAAGGCCACCTTGCTCGAGGACACGGGCGACCCGTGCTCGGGCCTCCCTACTCCCAGCACTTCCCCTCCCCGCAAGGTGGGCCACAGCCCTGGCCACCCCACTGAAGGCCGGGACAGCCGGGGGTGTCATCCTGACCACCGCCGCCCCCCTGGCCCCCCCCAGCCATCAAGGCTTGGCAGCCAGCCCTGCCCAGGTTTGCAAGCCGGCCCCCCTGTCCCCTCGCTCCTCCAGGCCCCGGGTTCCGGGTGTGAAATAAAACCTGCCTTACAGGGTTGTTAAAATTAAACAGGAGGTGCGTACAAAGCACCCGGCGCACGGTGCGCGCTCGGATCCCCACTGCTCACTTCGATCGGCAGCCGCGCGGCCCCCTTGTGCCGAGGCCGGTGCTGGCTGCTGAAGGTCAGCCCGGGGCCCCGCTCCACGGATGGCTCAGGCTGGGAACGAGCACCCGACCCGGGCCACGGCAGGGGGGAAGGGAGGCGTCCGGGCGTGGCCACAGGGGGCCGTGAGTGAGCCGAGGGGCCCCTCTCCTGGAGGAGCAGGACGCCTCACTCCATACGCGCTGTCCTGGTAGTTCGATGCCTGCCTCACTCCGTTCTCTTCAGCACCCTCCCCCCCCGAAGAATTACATACAGGCCTACTCTCCTCGGGCCTTGCCATCAGCACCACAGGCCCGTGCCCGGACACCACGTGCATCCCCGTGCCTCTGCCCCTCCTGCCGTGGGACCCTGGCCTGCCTTCCCCGAGCCCCCGAGCGGGTATCTCCCGGCCCGAGCCCCCGAGGGGCCCTCCCCGGCTGATGTTTTAAGGCATGACAACCACAGCTGATTGTTACAGCTTCCTGCCGGCCGGTCCAGGAGGGTGGGCCCTGCGGCCGCATGCCCACTGCCACACGAGCCCTTCGGCCAGTCACCTGGAGTCCCTGCCTGGGGTGATGAGCGTGCTGCCTACCCGCACAGAGCTGGAAACGCTCGCAACAAGTGACGGGTGGTCTCAGGAAGGAGCTGACAGGCAGGCTGAGGCCGAGCCTGGGGAACACCCCCATTTTTCCCGAGGCAAGGGGGTGCCGGTCTCAAGAGCCCACGGCACCTGAAGGCATCCGAAGGCCTGAACCTGCCCTGGAAGGCGCTCCCTCCTGGCTCTCCTCAGCCCTGAGCAGGCAGGGACGGGCACGTTGGTCTTAGAGTACCCTCTGCGGCTGCTTTCCCAGGTGGCTCCCAGGTGGAGGTGGCTGCGGGCCCCTGAGCCTTTCTTCCCTGACCTTTTAGGGACAGAAGATGAGCCTGTGTGTCCTGGAGGGCATGGGCTTCCGTGTGGGCCAGGCCCTGGGCGAGAGGTGAGAGCCGATGCTTGCTGCCCTTCCCCTGCCCTGGCTGGCTGGAGGCAGGCAGGAGCTGAGGTCAGGTCCCTGCCTGGGTTGTGTTGCTCTAAAGAGGAGCCCAGCCTGGCTTCCTCCCTCTTCCTTACCCTGGGCTCCCCATCCCGGCCCCTCCCGGCCCCACAGCATCGGCCGGGCCCAAGCGGCTGCCACTGCCCCCCCAGGCTGCCCCAGGAGACACTGGCCTTCAGAGAGGAGCTGGACATCCTCAAGTTCCTGTGCAAAGACCTGTGGGTGGCCGTGTTCCAGAAGCAGATGGACAGCCTCCGCACCAATCACCAGGTGTGTTGTGCGTGCCTGGGGCCCAGCTTCCCGACTCCAGGTGGACACCGAAGCCAAGAGGACGCAGGAGGAGAGCCCCTCGGGTGGGAGGGTGCAGCGGCCCGGCCACCGCTGGCCGGGGGGGAGTGGGGGGCGGCCCTAAGCTCGACGGCAAGAGCCAGGTTCCCCGACTGGCAACACAGCCCCTCTCTGGGCCTCTGCCCAATCCTCTGAAGGGAGCCAGGAGGCCGCAATGGGCAGGGCGGGGGTGGGGGTGGGGTGGTTACAGCTATTTCCAGAATGTCCACAAGCTTCCCAAGATGGGGCCCCAGGGTGAGCAGTAGGCTGTCCCATGGTCGGCAGCACCTCTCCTTGGCGTGACAGCAGAGTCCCCACTAGGTGCCCATGCTTTGCCCGGCCCGGCCTGCAGCTTCTCACCACAGCCCCGGGAGGAAGGGCCTATGCGGCTGTTTACTTCGGGAGCCAGGCCGCTAGAGGGGTTAGGACCAGCACACCCCGTGGGTGGATCCTCGGCCCAGCTTGGGAAGCCCCTGGGCCCTTCTGGAGCTCTGAAGGATGGGGCCCATGACGACAGGGGTTCTGAGGCCCGGGTCCTTCCAGACTGCAGCCCAGTGGGGCAAGGGGCGCTAGGTCCTGGTCTTCCGTCCCCCACTACCAATGCACAGGTGCCCCCCCAGCCCCTACTGGGCTCTTCTCTGTCCCCAGGGGACCTACGTCCTGCAGGACAACAGCTTCCCTCTCCTCATCCGGATGGCCTCGGGCCTGCAGTATCTGGAGGAAGCACCCAAGGTAGGGAAGGTGCTTGGACTTGACCTCCCCCTATTTCCTCAGCCCCCACCCCAAGGTGGCCTCCCCTCAAGCTGAGGGGCTGGCCCAGGACCCAGGGGAGGAGTTGCCCCCACTGTGTGTGGAGCCCTGGGCCTGGGTGTGGGCCTCCCTGCTTCCCTGGGTGACGTGTGCCCCGCCCCGCCCCCGTCCCCAGTTCCTGGCCTTCACCTGCGGCCTCCTGCGAGGCGCCCTCTGCATCCTGGGCATCAAGAGCCTGGTCACCGCCTCCGTGGCATCCCTGCCCACCTGTGAGTCATGGGGGAGGGGGCCCTCCCCATCCCTCAGGTGTGGTGGGGCTCCAGAGTCCTATCCCTGCTCCCATGGCTCTGGGAGGCGGGGCCGGGCTGCTGAGCCCCACTGACAGATGGGGAATTTGAGGCCCCGAGAGCTTAAGTCACGTGCCCAGGCCACGCGGCTAGGGCAGCCCATTCACGCGCCCCGGCCCTGTGGTGCGCCCCCACCCCCAGCCTGCTTCCCTAGGTTGTGCCGTCCGGAGCGGAGAACTGCCGACAGACCACGCGCTGGTCTAGTGGTTGTGAACGTTATTATGGGTGGACATGATAGAAGTCAGCCTGCTTGATGCTCGATGGGGGTCCCCAAAGGGCAGCCAGGGCCTGTGGATTGCAGCCTGCCTGATGGGGTGTCCTCCTGACCCCCAGGGCCCTCCATCAGACGAGCTGAAGCTTCATGCCTCCCTGGGGCCAGCCTGCCCTCTGCTGTCTGCCCCCCCCCCCAGGTGTTTGTCCCTCTGCCGGTCCCCCAGGCCTACTCATGGCAGGGGGACCTGAGGCCAAGTGGGCAGGACCTGAGCAACACATGCCACAGAAGCCCGTGTTGGCCCCTCCTTAGCAGCCTGCATGCTTGACCTTCATGCTCCTAGTCACCCACACGGCGCTGGGATGCGGGCCAGGTGGGCGGGGAGCAGCATCCCCTCGGACCAGCCCAAGGCCACCCAGTCTGCTGGTGCAGGGCAGGGAGGCGCATCTCTGAGCTCTGCAGGTGCTTTCTGCCTCGCCCCTCAGATCCCAACCTCTAGCTAAAGCCTGCCCTTCTCTTCCAGGTAAGTTCCAGGTGGTGATTCAGAAAACCTGAGGAGCCCCAGGCCCTCACCCCCCGCTGAGCCTCATGGCCACCGCAGGCCCAGGGACCTTGGAGCACCGCTTTTGGGGGTGGCCGGAGGGCTCTTGTTGGGGACCCCGGGCTCTGTGGGTGATGGACAAGAGGGGGGGTGCAGGGGTCCAACCGCTTTAGGGCATCCCCAAGTGGGTGTCACAGGGAGGTTGGGGTGTCCTAGGAATGAGGCGGCCCAAGTTGGGGCCAGTGTGAAAGGATCCCTGCATCAGACTCCTCCCTCTGCATGGCGGACACCCAATAAAGGTTCTGTATGTGCAGCCAGATTTAAAGTGGAAGGTGGGGGGGGTCACCCTGAGTGCTGAGGGGGAGGGGGCCTCTGTCACAGGTCCTGCGGGGGTGGGGAGAGCAGAGCCCCCTGCGTGCCTCCCCACTGCTCATTTCCTCCCCCTGCAGGCCCCTTGCGTCTCCAGCCCCATGGCCCGAGCCCTGGTGCTTTACCACCTCCTGCCTGCACACCTGGCGGGGGAGGGTGGCCCCGGGCACTGGCATCCCTAGCAGCCTCAACAAGTCTGGGGCTGTCCTTCCCCTGGTGGGGCGCACCGAATGGCCCTCTCCCTAGGGAGCAGGACTGGGGCCACCCAGAGCATGGGCAGGGGCAGGCCTGGGGCTGCCAGGCCCGAGGATGGACAGAGAGGGGGAAACAGGCCAGACTCCCTCATTTCCACCCCCCCCCCCCCCCCCAAACACACCTGAGGGAGCTGGCGGATGGAAGTCCCACCCAGAACAACAGCCCAGCTGACCTGCCCCTGGGCTGTGTGGCCTCCCTGCTCTCCTGCTTCCCCCTCCCCCTGCCACCACCTCCCCTCCCTTTACATTCATAGCACCCGAGGGGACCCCCGCCTCAGAGCTGTGAACTGAGGCTGGGGTGAGACCCAAAGGGGAGGAGACAGGGTCTCCTTGCTCAAAACCCCACCTCTACAGAGTTCTGTGAAGACAGCCCGTCTGGCCCCTGCCTTGGCCTGCCCACTCCCAGCCCGGAAAGCTGCGCTCCACATTCTCTGGCCTTTGCACACACCAGTCCCCGCCTGGGCCACCCCCGCCCACTCCCCAGACTCCTGCCCCTTCTGGGGCATCCAGCAGCCACTCGGCTTCTGCTGGCCAGTGCCCCCCTCTGTCTGTGCCCCCAGCCCCGGGAGGACCCCTAGACAGCTTCTTCCTGCCCTGTGGTGTTTTCTTATATTCCAACGCACTTCTTCTTGAGTCCCTCTGGATCCCTTTGCCCAGTACAGAGCCTGGCAGACGTTTCCCTGAATGAACTGGTTATTCAGCTAAACTGTGTGCGCAGGTGGGCAGGAGGCGCAGAGGGTTGGCCCCATCCTGCCCTCAAGAAGCTCCTGAGCGCATCCTGGAGGTTCCCCCACACACTCACCCCCCACTCAAACATACTAGCTCTGCCCCCCAGGTTGACTGGACTGCTGCCGGGGCTGGGGGGTGGGCAGAGTCCCCAATTAGTGGAGGACAGGGAGGAAGCCTCCCCAGGAAAAGCAGCTTGAAGACCTGGGGAGGAGAGACGGGACTGGCCCCCAGCGGACAGAAGGATGCTTGGCTCTGGCTACAGGGGGCAGGGTCTGGTCACCCAGGCAGAACCCCTAGAGGGGTGTCCTGCTGGACCAGATGGGGTCCCTTCTCTCTTGTCCTGAACCCCCTTGTCCTGGGCACTGTTCGGTGGTAGTCTCCCCCATCCCCACCAGGTCCCCCATCTACCCTGGGCAGTGACTCTTTGCCCCATCGTGCCAGCAGCTGAAGGGACACGGGGGCCTGGAGAGCAGAGCCCTCTCCACCCCCCACCCCCGCACAACTGAAAGCCCCTCTTGCTCAGCCCGGCCCCTGCTCTCACCTCTCCGAGAACAATGTGCAAAGCATCCAGCAGGCAGGAGGCAGAGCCTCAGCAAGCCTGCAGCCCCTGCAAACCCCTGCTTCCAGAAGCCCTGCTCTGCTTCCACGTGACCTGGGGCAAGGAGCTTCAGCTCTCTGGGCCTCAGTTTCCTCATCTGTAACGTGGGCGCCACAGCCGCCCTGCCGGGCTCTGGTGAGGAAGGGGCTAACTGGGAGAAGTGCATAAACCGTATGTGGTTCCTGGTAAGCCTTCATCTGCATGTTGTCGTCCTTCTATGAGAAGCATCTAGAGTAGCCTGGTAAATGGGTCAGTCCGTGCCCGGCACACGTTAGCTGCGGTCATTCCTAAGTGCCTGGCTCTGCTCAGCGGACTCCTCCTGACAACTGCGGGACGGTGGTTGTCCCTGGTCCACTCAGCATTGAGGAAGCCAAGGCTCAGAGAGGTGAAGTCACTTGCCTGAGGTCACACAGCTGGGCCCTTGAGGAACTGGCATCCGAACCTGGGATTGTCCTCTCTGGACTCTTAATCCCTGCGCCAGCTTCCCACCCCCCGGTCCCGTGGACCCCCCCAGGAGCGCCCGGCAGGTGGAGCCCCAGGCGGCACGGTGGCTGGCCACCTCCCTCCCTTACCCGGGGTACCACGCCCGGGGGCAGCCCCCAGAGTGGGGAGCGAGCTGGCAGGGCGGGCGCTCCGGGGAAGGGGCGGGGACAGGGCGGGCAAACCGGTCGGGTGGCTGGCCCCGGGCTCGGGGCCTCTCTCCAGTGGGGCCGGCACAGCAGCTCGGCAGGGCAGGGAGCTGGGGCCGAAGGGCTGCCATCAGGTAGGTATGGAGGACCCCAGGCGAGGGGCGGGTGGGCAGGGGCCAGGCGCCAGGCCCCAACCCTCTCTGAGCCCCAAATCACCCCCTTTTCTCTGCCCCTCCACTTCGCCTGCCTCCCCGCCCCCCCCACACCCAGCATCCTTCCTCACTTCTGCTTTCGGCTCTTCTCATTTTACACCTGTGCACCCCATCTCGCCCTGAGTTTGCTGAGCCTCTTCCCCAGTTGGACCACCCTGATTGAATGTGCACCCCCAGAATTCCCCTCCCCACTCCCGCCCTTGTTCAGGCCCTAGATGTACCAGCCCTGAAATTTCAGTCACTTGGCGGCGGTGGCTTGGGGCTCCCAGCTCTCCCCGCGCTGGTTACACATCCCTTCCCACAGCGCCAGCCCACGCCTCTGGCGCCAGCCCGCGCCTCCCACAGCATGCACCCCCAATACCTAGTGCTCCCTGAAGTTTACTCAGCCACCCCCGGGCTCTTGTGTTTCCCTAGCCCATATCTGCTCAGCACCCCCATCATCCTAGCCTCTTGGAAACTCCCAGGGGCTCCCAAACACCCGGTCACCAACTTTGGAAATCTCACGCACCCCAAATTAGCCCTTAGCGCCCCGGTAACCATTCTCCATTCTCCCTCGTCTAGCTGTCCTTCCCCGGTCCTGACCACTCACTTTTACTCTGAAGGGCACTGCCACCCCAGCTGGCAACGTGGGACCCCAACATCAGGGACAGGGTCTCTCACCTGTCCCAGGTCACATCCAGGGGGTGGGCTCTTCTGGCTGGCACCCAAGGGAGCCGGGCACTGAGCCCACCCTCGCCCTCCCTTGGAGCAGGCCCCCCGGCGCGATGCACAAACACTACACCCTCCGCTTCGCCGAGGGCGCCCTGCCCCTTCGGACCCCCACCGAGCGCTACTTCTTGGACCCAGAGTTGGGGCGGCAAAAAGGTAGGGGTTCAGTTTGGGGGGTCCTGGCAGGGAGCGTGGTCTGTGAGTCGGGGGGCTGCTGAGTGGATGGTTGTTGAGCAGAAGGGGAACGTCAGGCCCCAGGGGAGAGGAGCTCCCAGCACTCCCCACAGAGGCTTCCACATAAAGGGGTCATGGTGCGGGGGGCAGAGGCCCCGGGGAGCCCGAGAGTGGGAGCCCAGGATGGGGATGTCAGCAGGGGGGCCCACCCAGCCTACCCCTTCCCCCAGCATGGGTAGAATTCCCCCACCCCAAATCGCCAGGCCTGTGAGGACTTCACCCCAACCTGGGGGGAGCAGTGTGGAGAGAGAGCAAGCTCCCCCCACCACCAAGTGTGTATGAGTCGGGGGATAGCTTCCAGGGTGGTGGTGACCACAGGTGCTCCTGCTGGGGGGTGGGGGTGGGGACAGTTACCGCCCATCGGGCCAATTCAGCCTCTTGAGGCCTGTGCCTCCCAGGGCAGCCCCCTTCCCCCCAGCCTTGCCCGATTCTGGGTACGAGGCCCACGCCCTTCTCAGTCCCCACCCTGTCCCCTCTCCATGGTCACCTCCCATCACTCCAGCCTCCTCTGGACCAACCAGGCCGGTTCCTGATGGGTTCCTTTCTGCCCCCCCCAACCCCAGGGACACCCCCCCAGGGACTCCAAGGCATTGTCCCCACTCCAGCCCCTCGCCTGGCTAAGCCCAGGCCTCCGCACCTCTCCGCCCCCCAACAGGCGAGCACGGAGACTGCCCCCTGCCACATCCCCTCCTCATTTTCTCGGATTTCTCCGGGGTCTCCACTTGAAGACTAGACCTGGTTCCTGCCAGTGCCCCCCGCAGGGGTCAGGGACCCAGGCCCAGTCACCCCCACTTCCTTCCTTCCAGGATGCTGTCACCAGTGGTGCCATGACCCAGCGGCCCTTCGAGCCCTCGGGCCCTGTCGGCTGCCCCCACAGGTGTGCTGGCAGCTGGCCTACCAAAGCCACCAGGGGGGTGTCAGCGGCTGCCGCCGGGGCCCCCAGCCCCCCATCTTGCAGCAGCGGCGGCAGCCCCAGCCCCCGCCTCCCAGCCCCCTGCGGCAGCAGCTCTGCTCCGTTCCAGGGGCCCGGAAGGGGCCACCTGCAACCGCTGCTGCCCCCAGGCAGCTGGCCAGCGCCTCCCAGCCGCCCCCCGAGCCCAGCATCTCACCCACCGCCGCACCTGCCACGGCCAGCAGCCGCCCCGCCCCGCGCTCCGCAGCCGGCGCCCTCCCGGAGCCCAGCAGGCCCCGGGCCGCCCACCCCCTGCTTGCCCCAGCAGCCGGCGGCTCCTTCACCTACAGCTCCGGTGCTCACCCAGCCTTCCTGCGGGCTCTGTCCCTGCTGCCTCCTCCCCCCGGGCCTCTGGCCCCTCAGCTCCTCGCTCACTCCTTGCTCACTTTGCTCCCCGTCTGGGAGGGTGCTCAGCCCTGACCCTGGGTGCCCCCCCTCCCCGGGCAGCCACCTCTGCTTCACCTGTCGCTTCACCTGTCCACAGCTGCCAGGCCAGGCCTGTCCTTGGTGCCTCGTCCCTGGCTAGTGGGGGGGGCGGGGGGCGGGGAGCTGGGCCCTGGCTCTCTCTCTCCGCTGACAGCCTGGCTCTGCTTTCTCTCTTCCCGGCCCTCCCTGCCCCGCACCCCCAGCCCAG